GGGGGGGGGGGGGGGGGGGGGGGGGGGGGCAGAGAAGAGCGTCTTTTTGTTGTTTTTGACTTGAGAGAGGAAGGGAGAGTTTACGAGCCCTCTTCATTTAGCTAGAAGTTTTGTATTGCCTTAGGACAAGACATTTTCCTCTGAATATCAATAATATTGTAAGGAGATACCTTACAAATTGGTATAGAAGCATCATCCCGGGGAGGTTTGCCAAGATGGCACAAAAACAGAAAGAGGAACAATTGGATGTTCCGGATCATGAACTAGGGGAGATGAAAATGGAGATTGGGAAACTCCAAGAGAATGTTACGAGAATACCTAGAATCGAAGAAGCGCTGGCATCACTGGCGAGATCAATACCATTTGGGAACTTCGAGGTCTATGAATTATATTTGGAGGGTATGAAGGCTGACACAAAAAAATATGTGGAGAAAATAATTTGTTAGAGGAACAAGTCCTTGACCATGTCGAGCTAGATTACTTTTGCCATTGGATATTCTCAAGTGTTGGAAGATATCTCGATTGTTGATCGTTTGAACAAGGCAACCCATTTGGTTGCTATCAAACCTCCTTCCACACCAAATAGTTTTAACTCTCTTTGGTCCGTTCCCTTCCCAGATAGCAATCAATAATACTTCTTACAATTCTCCTTTAATAAGCAAGTTCTAATTCCTGTTTGATTAAAATTAAGGGATCTTACTTAAATAGATCTAGAACAATGCATCCTTTCCTCCATGGTTTAGTGGGTTGGCCATGGGTGTAATGCAAGAGGTCGGGCTCCAACACTTGGGTTATTAGACAAAATTGAACAAGATGTCGTTAGTTTGTTCGTATTATTTTTTGCCTAGCTCTTACAACTGTGTTCTTCATTGATGTTGATTGGTGGGATGCAGGAGAAATTTGCTTCCATGATCATTGAAGCAGGCTTCGAGAAGGTCGAGTACGAAAATCTTGTTGGAGGAGTGGTTGCTATCCATTCAGGCTTGAAACTTTAGAAGCAGCTTTTGAAGCAGGCTTCAAGAGGTTACTTCACTTTTGCTAATCTTCTCATCAAATAAAATATAGCCAAATTTCTTATAACTATATATAGCTTTTCTTGCTCTTTCTTTTTTTTATTTTTTATTTTTTTATTTTTAGAATTTTGGGCTTATATGGAATGGCTTTTTTAAATGGTTGATATAAATATCTATTATTGGAGAAAATCGTTTAAAAGGGGAAAGGCTATGCTCCGCTTGCAGGGATATACTTGTCAATGACAAAATTCAAGGAAGACGGGCATATTCAGATTATCTTTTGAACCCACTCGAAATTTCGATTTAGTTAGGTTATTGATTCGAGCAACTTGATATGATCAATCTTCTTATTTTTGGGTTAAGTTGGGTTGGCATATTGTCTTTTTTAATTATTTAAAAAATCTTATTTTTATTGTTCAAATATTATTTACAAATCATGCATCAGTTACTAACGTTAAATATTTTTATCTTTTTTAAAACATGGTCAGATTAGATCTCGAGTCAGTTAGATTGACCTCAAACCGAATTTTTAGAAACATATCGCTGTTATAAATTTGAACTTGAAAATGAAAAAAACACATCTATTTGATTCTTTTCAAAATCAAGATTATAAATTTGAAGATTTGATAATCAAAATCCTTTTGAAGGATTGATGAACACCAAGTGAAAACTGAAATTCAGGCATTCAAATTTCCTTATGATATGATATACACGAAAATTGATAGCAGACAGTAGACATAATATTTCTCTATACCCAGCATTTGATGCTATGAAGAAGATTCAATGGAATATCTACATACCCAGTATGTGTCGGTATCGATCACTGGTGAACTCGCTACACGCATCGCCCTCGACACCCTCATCTGGTCTATACATACATATATATATATATATATATAACAACTGATCTGTTACCATACTCTAATATCTTGATATGATCAGCTGCATTGAACTTCTACAATTTGTTATCCTCATTATGCAAAAAGATAGTAGGCTGACCTTTCCGATGTTTCGTTCGGTCGAGTAATCCAGGTTCCCGTTACATGTCTTCAGCATCATATGGCTTAGCCTTACGAGACCGAAGATCAAACCATCACCTGGGAATAGACATGTGTCTTTTCTTCTATATCGATATCAATCACCTTAAAGTGCATACATCCGTTTGTATTCGTTATTCAACAACTCTGATTCTGATGCAACCATAGACATGGAGTAAGAACGAGATCGGCTCTCGCCTCGTTGTATACTTCTCAATCTAGCCTCTTCCATCCTGTGTTGAATGACACAATAGCACATCGAGCCAATCGTTGTAAGCATTATCGTGCTACCGATCACGGTTGCACATATGGCAAGCCATTTGTGGTTTGAGCCAACAACCACATAAGTGATTGAAATGAAGGCAACAGAAATGAAGAGACAAGCCAACCACATGAGCTTGTTAATCACAAAAACAAGCTGTCTCTTTGCCTTCTGTTCAATCACAACTACAGATGTCTGAACAACAACAACCGCCAGGGATATGAACAACGCCAAACTGTCCGAAACCATAAAAATGATGAACGCTGCGTTTGTAGCGATATGCGCTTGTCCGAGACTAAAACCCTTTGTGTCCTGCTCAACGAACTGGCCGGGGACGGTGAATATGGCAGCAAAAGCAACAGTAGCAATGAGAACAGCCACAACAGTTGCGGAGTTTATGGCATTGTTCAGGCCGCTTATGTGAAGTTTCTTTAATCTTTTTGCAATTCTCTGAACTCGAACACCCGTCTGGCGGGTCTGCTGTAGTTGGGATTCGACATCGTGCTTTATGTCGCAAACCGTTTGCTTAAGTTGCTTGGCTGCACTTGGGGGTTTCCCCTGGTCTTTGGAATTGACTGCCCCTGCTTCCTTCAAGATGGTTACAAGTTCTGAAGATCCAAATTTTTCAGCAATGTCAAGTGGGGTATCTCCATTCTTGTTGTTGGAGTTGATGTTGATACCATTGATAGATAATAAGCAATGAACATTCTGCAAAGATATGAAGATCTCAAAATAAGACCAAGACCGAGCACGAGAATCAAACATCGAAACTGAACTTTTTCTTCGATTTAGACATACAAAATCGACCTCAGCATTAAAACTTGATACAGAAAAGATCGATTTTTCTCTTCTTCCTATGCACCAATCGTTTCTAGATAATCGTTTGTGGCAGACATTTAAGAGTTCAAGGATACGGTTGACAGTCCAGCACGTAAGATTTGGTGGCGATTGTCGAGCTCCCTATGAGTTATTTGAATGTTTCGCTTGGCTGTTCTATGGAAGCCTATGTCAAAAAGATCATGGGAAATGAAGCATCTTTGTTCGGGAAAGAAGACGTTGAGGGGAAGCCCGAAAGGGAAAGCTCGAAAGATGCTACGTTTATTTTGTTCGTGTTCCAAGATAAAAGAGGACAATATCTAGTGTAACCTTGAGGGGAAGCCCGAAAAGGAAAGCCGAAAGAAGGCAATATCTACTAGCGGTGACTTGAGCCAGAAATCTGAAAACGGTTGTCGGAAAGAAATGAACAAGGGAAGTCTTGGTAGGAACTTACTTAGAAAGGACATTTCTCTTTGACTAAATGGTTTTGGTACCTCTTTTAAGCTTGACACTTCATGACATGGGTAACTTGCACGAGGAATGGAACTCGTAATGCCGACTCTCGAACGATAATGGGAGAACAAACTGGGAGTTTCGATAAGGTTAGGTTCTTTTCTTGGCAGGTAGTGACCCGATACTGTAGATATCGTACAAGGTTCACCACTCTCAAGTTCAGTCCAAACCGGGAGGGTCGACTTTTGGTCATTTCCAATCTTCAAACGTGGTAAATATCCATACCAAATCAAACAAATCAAAGAAAAATTTGCATCTATCGAATACTTTTTGCAGGCTATGAACACGAACAAAATAAATTGTTTATAATACCTCGGTACGTCTCTTGGATACAGCAATATGTAACGCAGTATTTCCCTTGTTATCTTCCAGTGTCAAAACCGAAGGATCGGGCCTTAGTAACTCCATCACAATCCTCTCGTTCTGCCCTTTTACAGCCATGTGCAGCGGGGTTTGGCCCTTCTTGTCAGTTCGGAAACCGAGGCTCGGGTCCTTACTTACCAATAATTTTACTACTTCAACATGGCCCATTCTAGCAGCCGAATGAAGGACAGTCTTACCATTGTTTCGAGCTATCTTAGTAAGTTCCGAGTCTGCTTCAAGAAGAAGACTTACCACATCAATGTGCCCTTGCATAGCCGCCGTATGCAAAGCGGTCGAGTTCACCGAGTCTGTGGTCATAGCCAAGTTGGGGAATACTTCGAGAAGTTCTTGCAACACCTCTGCAACATTTGTTAAGACAAAACGATATCAAGAACTGAAGGCTGATAACACCGAGCAATCAGATACTCAAGATTACGCCTTATATCGAAATATTCCAATTACATCTCTTTAACAAACTTCACTTTCAAAATGTATGACTTTAGCAATATATATCTCTTTGAATGCCCAAATTCAAATAAGTTTGACATAGGTTCATGAGAAGAGTCAAAGAGATACGTCAACCTCGGGATACTTTACTCCTAACCCCACAAGGTTTCGAGACAAAGCTTAACCCGAGTCTAGGTTAAGAATGGCGATCATTCTTTTCTTTCTATGTACAATCAGAGTGTAGCACCTCTCTTTATGGGTCTTAACAAAAGGTCGAATTCTAACTCGTATTCAATTCATTCAACTAACTTCGATACGTAATCTATTACGCTCAACAAGTACGTGAACGTGTTACTCAAACTAAGGTGTTCGTGCTTTATAGATCTCTTCAACAATCATTATCGAGATGCAAGTCTACAATAAAAGGTCAGCTATCCTACATAAACAGACATTTATTAAGCAATTGATATCCCTAAAGTCATGATCATTAAGAACATGATATCATATGATTGAATGTGATATCTATTTGCAACAGATGAATACAATAGACATTCTTACTGAGATGGCCGTGCTTCGCTGCAACGTGGAAGGCATCGAATCCATTTCTAGCAGCCATAAAAGCAGTCTCAAGGTCCAAATATTTCAACATCTCTGCAACAACGAAGTCATGTCCATTTTCAGCGGCTGCATAAAGCGGAGTCTCGCCTTCGAGATTTTGCTTCGACATTAAACCATTTGACTCATTTCTATCATTACAATTCTGAAGAATCTCTTTGATTCTTGATAAATTTCCACTTCTTGCTGCTAAGTGAAGTGGAGAATCGCCTCGTTTCCCAGGCGATTCCCTCGTCTTCTTCCTCTCGCCTCCCATGAAACTCAGCTGCCTCTCCATCACCATACGAAAGCTCTTCTGCTTCTCCATGAACCCTCTAAAGCTTTTCTGCTTCTCCATGACTACACGAGTGCTTGGCTGCTTCTCTAGCGATATCTCTTTCAAACTATTCTCCATGAACATATTCAGAAGAACATCGAGCAACTAAGATTACAATAAATCTGAACTAAACCACCGATCGATTCTCAATTACTTGAAACCACGATTCTCAGATCGATTAACTTAGGAACCAATAGAAGAAAATCAACAATCCATGAAACCAAAGAGCTCAAGAACACAAAAACAGAGCAAAATCAAACATCCATAGCTCGGGCGGGAGGTTCCAACCCCAAAATCCGTATCAATAAACGAAACCCAGATAGAGAAATCAACAAAAACAGAGCAAAATCCACCAAATAAACGAAACCCAGATGAGAAAAAGCAAGAAAAAGTCAGATAATGGTTCGATGAAGGGGAAAAACCTTACCGACCCAAGAGCGAGGATGAAAAATGAAAGAAGGGGAGAGAGAAGAGGGTTTGTTCTTGTGTGTGTGTTTTTTTAATGGAATCGAATAATCCAAAGAGTAAAAGAGAGAAGAAAAAGGGGGGAGAAAGAGAGTAAAAACATATGAACAAACATCCAAAAACGCACTACAGAGTGACCACCACCACCACAATCGCAGCCACCATTGCTACACGTATCGCTCTCTCTCTCCTGCTGGTGTGGTACTGTAGCGTCAATTTGGTGAGCCAAACACGCTCTCTTTCGCGAAACAAGTGGAATTGAAAAAACGCACTACAGAGTGACCACCACCACCACAATCGCAGCCACCATTGCTACACGTATCGCTCTCTCTCTCCTGCTGGTGTGGTACTGTAGCGTCAATTTGGTGAGCCAAACACGCTCTCTTTCGCGAAACAAGTGGAATTGAAAAAACGCACTACAGAGTGACCACCACCACCACAATCGCAGCCACCATTGCTACACGTATCGCTCTCTCTCTCCTGCTGGTGTGGTACTGTAGCGTCAATTTGGTGAGCCAAACACGCTCTCTTTCGCGAAACAAGTGGAATTGAATTCATGGGAAGGCAACTTATCATGATCTTCATAACCATGTTTTAGTAAGTTTTCTTGTTGAGTGTGTTTGTAGCTAGTTTTGATCTAAGTATGGTTTTTGTTAAGAACCGTGGTCAACGAGGATCACAAAATCACTTGATTTAAGATTTAGAAGTATGACTTGATGTAACGGCCCAGACTTCTCCGCTAGAAGATATTGTCATTTTTCCTTTTGGGCTTCCCCTCAAAGCTTTAAAAGCTTTTTTTTTTTATAAATAGTGGTTTGTTCTCCTCCCAACAAATGTGCATTGGGATTTTCCCTTTTGGGCTTCCCCTCAAGGCTTTAAAAGCTGTCTAGAGGGACGGTTTCCACACCCTTATAAAGAGTAGTTTGTTCTCCTCCTCAACCAATGTGGAACATCACAATCCACTCCCTTCGGGCCCCAGCGTTTGTAACGGCTCAGATCCACCGCTAGCAGATATTGTTATTTTTGGACTTTTCCCTTTCGGACTTCCCCTCAAGGCTTTAAAACGCGTCTACTAGCGGAAGGTTTCCACACCTTTATAAATTGTGGTTTGTTCTCCTCCCCAACCAATGTGGGACATCACACGTGATATCTCATATCAGTTGGGGACAAGAACGAAACACCCGTTATAAGGATGTGGAAATCTCTCCGAAGTAGACGCGTTTTAAAATTTTTGAGGGTCAACCCGAAAGGAAAAGCCTAAAGAGGATAATATCTACTAGTCGTGGACTTGAGTGGTTACATATGAACTTATCCAAACAAATGAATGCTCGTTAAGTGATATAGGGTAAGCAAGACTGGTAGAGTAAATAAAAAAAATGGTACAAAGAACAATAATGAAATGTAGGTCTCTAATATACACATAGTTTAATGCACAAGAGAGTTTAAAGCTAGTAATAATTAAAGTTACAAGTCAAATATGCACTTCGAGCTGGTTAGTAGAGCATTCAAACGTAAATTTTTTAGATCTGTATTTTGAGGTAGAGTGAAGATTAAGTAACGATTTCAATTTGAAATAATAATCGATCTTTTATATCGAGAGATATGAATCTCGATATTTCGATAAAAAGGTCACAAAGACGAAACACATGGCAAATAAGTAAGAAGTTTGTATCTCTCGTGTGTTCACCAATGATTGACACGAAGAATAGTAGCTCACCATGAATGAACTCAAGCTTCAAAAGCACTTCAACTACAAACTCCTTTAAAGCTTGTCTAGCTTTAATAAAGGCTCAAGTTCGTGTTTAATATAACTTTATATTTTGTCTAAAAAAATACATTTTTAAGTTTTTAAAAACCGTTAATAATACTTTAAACTTTAATATATATATATATATATTATATATATTTTTTAATTCTTAACTATTTTATTTTAAAAATACCTTTAAACTTTAAAAAATTTCATTAATCGTTTAAAAAATACCCATAAAAATTTAAAGTACTTTTACCTCTATAAAAAAAAAAGTTTAAAAAAATTCTTATCGTCAATAATATGAACAAAAATCGTCTATCGACACTTCATAGATTATCTCCAAACTTTTTAATGTTATTTTTTAAAGTTCAGGGTATTTTTGAAATGTGTTCGTAATGCTAAAATTATTTTTGCAATTTTTTAAAAAGTTAAAAGGTATTAATGAAAATTTTGAAATCATGTATTTTCTAAAATACTTTTAAAACTCTTCTAAAAAATAGTTTTTTTTAAAAAATAAAAGTATTAATTTTTTTTTTTTTAAGTTAAGTGATATTATTGAAACTTTTAAAAATGGAATTATTTATATAAGGGATCGCATGTGAAATTATTAAAATATTATGTCGGTTTAATTATTGATATTGTATTTTTAAAGAAAAAAAAATGTATTTATTTAATAAAAATGAATATATAAGGTGCAATTTTCTTTTTACAATTCAATTATTTGTTGAGTAGAAGAATTATCAAATGCCATAATTATTGAATCTCATGAGTTTTTTTTTTTTTTTTTTTTTTTTTTTTTTTTTTTTTTTTTTTTTTTTTTTTTTTTTTTTTTTTTTTTTTTTTTTTT